GGTTGTAAAACAATCTTTCTACCATAAGCTGTTCAAGATATCAGCAGACAGAAATGCTTTTAAATTCCACAAGTTAAAATGTCCTTCATAACATACACTGTAAATTCAAATGTCCTAGTTTCACACTTACTACTGCCTGCAATCTGAATTTCTATCAAGTGCACACATGTAATGTCTCTAGACTCTAGAAAATTATGTTTCAGTTCTCAGTATTACTACTATTTTTTAAAAGTGTCTGTAAAATTTAAGAAAAATTCACAATCAAATATTTCTAATAATTTAACATTGCCACTGGATTTCAAACCAGAAAAATAGAAATATATAGTAAAACATTTAATAAAGTTAAAAGAGTAAAATGGGATGAAACAAATAAGACTTTAACCCTTGTGCACTGTTCACTACCCTTTTGTTAAGTTAGGGATGAAAACATCCACTAAATTAAACTGCTATAAAAATGCATCAGTTACTTTTTTTTCAATTATTTTGCATAAATCTGTTTAACCCCAGGCCTGATCAAAACTGCTAAATGTTTTTAAAAATTACAGAATTTTTAATTAATAAATTGCCAAGTTCACAAATGATGTCACTGATTTTGTGAAAAATACACACAAAATGATGAATTTTCAATTTAAAAAGTAAGCGTGGACTGGATTTTTAAACCCTTTTTTACAGTCTTGGATGCAAAGGATTAGTAACAACATCGCCTTTGATGCATTTTTAGATTTTCATTTTATCTCCCTAATTTACTTTTGGTGGCTGTTTTCGCCCCATTGACATTGACTGCATGTGATGGTGCATAAATACACAGTCTTTGTTTTTATTTACTACGTGTAGTTCTGAGAGCTGAGATGCATGTTTTGATTTTCTCAGACACATCAAGGTAAGTGTGTAAAGGTCACACTCACAAACACACATACACAGACTTTAATTTGTTGTTATACTCCATATAAAAGCCAGAAACAAAGCTTTTTTTTTTTTTTTTGCACAGGCCTATATAAGGGTTAATGGTGCCAATTGATAATCAACAGTAAATATTACAATTGTACTCTTCCCAGCAGGGAAAAACACCAACAATCAAAACAATACATGATTATATGGTGTCATGGCTTTGTGATCAAAAAAATGTGGTTATATTGGAAGCCAAGGGCAAAAACAGCCACCAACAGTAAATTAGGGAGAAAAAAAATTAAATCAATCAAAAACAATGCAAAGGTAATGCTGTTTCACATGTCCAAGACTTTGATAAAAGGTAAAAAAAAAATCCAGTCCACAATTACTTTTTAAATTGAAAATATATCATGTTGTGTTTTTCACCAAATCAGTGACATCGTTTGTGAATTTGACAATTAAAGAGTTAAAATCCTGTAAATTTACTAAGCAATTTAGTAGTTTTGATCAGGATTATGATTTATGCAAAAAAGAAATGAAAAAAATATATATCTGATGCATTTTTACAGCAATTTAATTAGTGGATGTTTTCATCTGGAACATAATAAAAGGGTAGTAAATTGTTGAGTGTATTGATTGAGTTTTTTTTTTAATTCAAATAATTTTCTCAAAATATGTGTAAAAATAAGATTTGTTACCACAAATCATCCTTATAGCTAAAACACAGAAAAAAAGGTTATAGCCGAATTACTGTAAGACTCAAAAGCACCCTGTAAACACCCCCACGGGACATAAGGGTTATATAAATTGCTAAAATAAAAACCTGACCTCTTAGCACTCCTTTGCATTTACCTGACCCCGTTTTAAAACCCGCTGCTCTTCCGCAAAACAAAATAAAAGAGAAAATGTGATGACAGCCTTGATCAGCTAATGGCACCACACAAGCACAGTCCCAAACCACTTGAATCTATCTTTTGACTCGTGACGTCAAAAGCAACACGCAGACAAAAACATCTTCAACTTTGAGCTATTAAGAGCCCTCCAAAAGGGCCCACCAAAAAATGAACACTGGTACAACATTTACTAGACTTGAAATACGATGATGTATAATCAAATCTGTAGCCACAGTCAAAGCCATTAATGGATACAGATGCTCCCTTTTTTAGAGACAGATGGTGTAGTTGCAGCATTGACCACCGGGGGCCGAACGGCTATTTACTCTACAAAACACTACAGAACGGGCTGCAAGGTGGCACAGTGGGTAGCAAGTTAGCCTCATAGCAAGAAGGTCGCTGGTTCAAGCCTCGGCTGAGTCAGTTGGCATTTCTGTGTTCTCCCTGTGTTCGCGTGGGTTTCCTCTGTGTGCTCCAGTTTGTGCCAGTCCACAAACATGTGGTATAGGTAAATTAGGTGAGCTAAATTGTGTGTAGTGTATGTATATGAATGAGTGTGTATGGATGTTTTCCAGTGATGGGTTGCAGCTAGAAGGGCATCCGCTGAGTAAAACATACGCTGGATAAGTTGGTGGTTCATTCCGCTGTGCCGACCCCAGATTAATAAAGGGACTGAAAATGAATGAATGAATGAGAACTATAGAACAGGGTGATGATCTGAGAGGCTCGATTTGTGTTAAAAATATCCCGAAAAGTATTAATGTTATATTTATATTCTACATATTACTAAAGCACAACAGCAGCCTGTTTACAATCATTAGATATAATCAGGGCCGGAGTGGGACTCCTTTTTAAGCCTTCGACCGGCCCACCTCAGTTCACAACAGACTATATTAAAATAAGGCAATTTCCAATTCAGTTTCTAATTACACTATCATGTCTTTTTCAAGAAAACAGCTGCTTTAGAACTTCAAATGTTCAACAACCTTAAAGTTTTATACGTCTCAAAAATAAAAATGGAAGAAAAAAATTAAAAAGAATTACTCCGGTGAGGATCACACACAGATCAATGGCGTCGTGATGCAACGTGCTAACCGCTCGACCACAATAGTGCTGTTATGCTTTAGTGGCTACATTTAGCTCACAGGGCTGTAAGACGATAAATAAGAAGAGCGGAGCTGAGGCAAAATAATGGATAAAAAGAGTGAGGCTATGGTCAAATAATTAAATAAATGAAAAAAAAAGTGCAACTGCGACTGCTGCTTTCTCCGTTTGCCAAGCTGGAGAGGAACAGTCTGAGCAAATGTAGCGCAGAGTGGGTGTCATCGACTACAGCTCTCATCTGACTGGCCGAAAGGTACGAATTGCCCTGCCTCTGGCAGGACAGTCTCAAAAATACACACACACGTATCCAGGGGGAGTCGTATGTGAAAGAGGATTTGCACATTCTCATTCAGGATGAACTCGCAAGTTTAAAACATTCAAAACTTTTTGTACACTCTTATACATTTGTAAATGGTGTTTTGCATTTGTGGAACGTATTTTATGAAAATGTATTTTTAATTTGTGCACGTGAAATTTTTTTGTGAATATAAATAAATATTTTATGCACGTGAATTTGATTTTATGCAAGTGAATTTGGCTACGCATGTGTACATCGTGCCTTTTGCGTGAATTTCTGCGTGAGTCTTTTCTGACTCCATAGGTTTCGGGGGGCCACTGTGATCAAATAAGCACTATACCAAAGTTGGCAACGCAGGGGTGTTACAGACTGTATCAGAAAGCTGAAGGTGAAATTACGGGAGGTTTCCAAAAGATAAATAAAAAAAAAAAAACGGGGGTGGCGGGAGAAGGGTCTGAAATACGGAAGACTACTGGGGAAAATCTTGAGTGTTGGCAGGTATATAAAGGTATTAACCCAAACCAAAACCTCACCAAAATTCTCCCTCTCTTCTCTGATGGGATGGAGGGCCAAATCAAAGCCCTAGTTTGGATATCTCTGCTATAAATTTTTAGTTTTAACAAAGCTCCCAGTCCAAAACCTTTAAATTTCTGTCATCAAATAAATGATCCTTGTCACTTCTGTTCAGACACAACACTCTTATCCCAATGCTCGATAAATAAAGCATGTCAATGTGGTGTTGTCCTTCTAACCTCACAAATTATGATAAGAAATGTCTGATGTTTTGTTGCCAGAGAAAGTAAACAGCAACCCAGACATGAGACGATTACAAATCAACCCTTTTTTTAAAAATTTTTTACCATGCAACAGAGCAGCAAGAATAGAAATGAACAGTTGTGGACATGCACAAGCACGGAGCTGCATTACCAAAAAGGTGACGTCAAATATTCATCTCCGATGTTGAAGTTAAAGCTCTGAATAAGTCATGCATAAGAGGTTACAAAGAGGGAAACGTCTAGACTGATAAAACCATGCAAAGTCAACAAAAGAACAAACAAACGCAAAGGATTGATTATTATGAGCGAAACAATCCATTTCCACAGATTAAAGCGCAGTGATGCAAGGGTATAGACTCAACCCTCTGATATTTTCCAAAAAGTCTGCCTGGCCAGCTCATTCTCTGGCCGACTGGAGAAAAAGGAAGCATCTTTCATCTTTCTGTCGATGGATGAAAGCCAAAATGTTAAGAGCTCGCTCAATCTTTTATGAGGCGAGCTTTGGATTAAGTGCAGCTTTGTTTCAACATTTTCCAGTTTGGCATGGGCCACAACGGCCAATATACTGGCACCACAAATTTAATTAGACAACCGGAATATGGTCACGTCACAACTACAGCAAGACACTTGTGGCATTTCCAAAAACTAAACTCAAACATCATCACTTCTGAAATGTTTTCAAGTGAGCAGTTGAAGAATATTCCCAGTCAAAACACAATGACTTGCAGACTGAAAGGTGATTAACTTTCCTGTCACATGTCAGGTGGTATGTAAATTTTGGCCCATTAAGTAAGACATAATTACTGATGAAGCAGTGACTGGCTGAATCACTGATTGACTGATGAGTTCCTTGAAACCTTATTAATAAATCATTGCACACTGCTCGCATCCAAAAGTGTCATTTCGACTGAAAAAAAAAATTAAAAGTGTAAGAAATTGGCTCACGCCTGAGACGAGGTACAAATAATTGCAATGAAGTCAAAGCCGGCTCTCTAATATTTGCCAAGTCAATTTTACAGGTTGTGAATCAAGATGTTTTACCTTCAGTCCGCTGTACTCGGCAGCAGAGCCTCGGTCCACTCCAGTAATATAAATGCCCAGAGCGTATTCAGCACCACCTCGGATCATCAGACCCAAAGATCGGCCATCATCCAGTGAGATATTCACCTGAGAAATATACACACACACACCTTTTTAGCATTTTATCATGCTCATCTCACTTGTTTATGCATACACTAACAAGTCCTCGCAGTTGTGCATCTCCTAGAGCAATCTAACCATACGTGTCCAATTCATTCTCTATGGGAGCTTAGCATTAAGTTTCCACGGGAATCATTGGATTGACAGCTGAGAAGGGGTTGAGAGTGTCAAGAAGTTCATCTTTATACAAATGAGCTGGAAAAACAGCAATGATGTCTGTCACAAGCATTTTAAAACCTACCGATAATGCTGAAGTTAATGGTTGAGTCAATGCCTAAAACTCAGACTGTCACATTTCAGATTTTTTCCCTTTCTTTCTTTTTATTATTATTATTTTGAAACTGATAATAATAATGATTTTGGGTTTTTAACATTTAACTATGATCAACTTTAAATCATAGCTGCGACATGATTGAAATAACAGTCTTTTCAACTAAAAACTGAGATAGACAATATTTTATTTCAAGTGCACTACAAACTTGGAAGTGTGCCAACAGTGTAATTGCGAATCAAATGTAGCTGTTAATAAGCTCAGCAGAAAAAAAAATGTGAGAAATATAAAAGCACATCGTATGGATACCAACTTTATTCTATAAATTTAGTATTGGACAAGAAAATAAAAAGTCTTGGTGAAAGAGCTATGGGCATCACAGAGAACTAGCAATGCCCGTAAACACAACTTGAAAGCAATTTTGTCAGGACGCTCTGAAAATGTAAGACCTTAAAGAAATAGGAAAATAAGCATATTTTTAATTTGGGCAACTATCCATTTACTATTTACATTCACCGACCATTTTATTAGGTAGATTTGTCCAACTGCTCATTAAGGCAAATTTCTAATCAGCCAATCACATGGCAGCAACTCAGTGTATTTAGGCATGTAGACATGGTCAAGCCGATCTGCTGTAGTTCAAATCGAGCAACACAAAGGGGAAGAAAGGTGATTTAAGAGACTTTGAAGGTGGCATGGTTGTTGGTGTCAGACAGGCTGGTCTGAGTATTTCAGAAACTGCTGATCTATTGGGATTTTCACACACAACCATCTCAAGGGTTTAAAGACAATGGTAAGAAAAAGAGAAAATATCCAGTGAGTGGCAGTTCTGAATATGCAAATGTTTTATTGATACTAGAGGTCAGAGAAGAATGGCCAGACTGGTTCCAGCTGATAGAAAGGCAACAGTAACAGAACCTCAAATAACTACTCGTTACAACAGAGGTATGCAGAAGAGCATCTCTGAAAGCACAACATCTCAAACCTTGAGAAGGACCTTGTCACTCCTGTCAGCTAAGAGCAGGAAACTGAGGCTACAATTTGCACAGGCTCACCAAAATCGGACAACAGAAGATTGGAAAAATGTTGCCTGGTCTGATGAGTCTCGATTTCTGCTGTGACATTCAGATGGTAGGGTCAGAATTTGGCGTCAACATGTAAGCATCAATCCATCCTGCCTTGTAACAATGGTTTAGGTTGGTGGTGGTGATGTATTAGTGAGGGGGATACTTTACAGCCTACCTAAGTATTGTTGCTGACCTTGTCCATCCCTTTTAGATCACAGTGCACCCATCTTCTGATGGCTACTTCCAGCAGGATAACGCGCCATGTCATAAAGTGTGAATCATCTCAGACTGTTTTTTTGAACATGACAATGAGTTCACTGTTCTCAAATGGCCTCCACAGTCACCAGACTTAATCCAATAGAGCACCTTTGGGATGTGGTGAAACGAGAGATTCGCATCATTCATGTGCAGCCGACAAATCTGCAGCAACTGAGTGATGCTATAATGTCAATATGGATCAAAATCTCTGAGGAATATGTCCAGTACCTTGTTGAATCACGAAGGATTAAGGCAGTCCTGAAGGCAAAAGAGGGTCCAACCTGGTACTAGTAAGGTGTACCTAATAAAGTGTATAATAGATGATGAAATAAATGCATCAAAGCTGCAAAAAGTATACTATGCCTTTAAATGCAGTTAAATATTAGATTTTCATCTTTAATTAATAGGATAGTCGAGAGTATAGACAGGAAATTGTGGGCAGCAGAGAGAGGGGAAGGATCAGCATAGGACCTTGAGGTAGAAATCAAACTCGGGTCACTGTAAACACCGGAGTGCCATCTAACCACTACATCAATGGCGCCAATCATTTTGTATAGTTTTTACAAATTTGCATATATTACAAGTTTAAGCAATACTATTAAGTTGTAATACTATTACATATTATTAGTAATACATAAAAAAGCCAAAGGCAAAAACAGCAACAACAACAACAAAACAATGGTTTAAAAAAACACTTTAAAATTTCAGTATTTAAAAGCAATCATATTTTACAAACCAGACGCACCTATAATTTGTCGGTATCATTTCCAGCATATTAAGTGGACACTCAGGAAAAAAAGATTATGTGTTGGTGTATGGGATCATTTACCTCCTATCTGGAAATGTTTGCACACTTAATTTTGCTCATCAGTTATGGATGCCCATTATGGAAAAAAGCCGCTAAGGCAATGAAGACATGGTGACTATAAATTTACCCACCCACCCATCAGGACTTTACTGATGCTTCACTTGAATGAAATTCCAATAGGATTCAAGTATGGGATACAGCACAACCAACCGCTGCGTTCTCCGAACCCCAATGAACAATTACCAGCAAATCAAATAAAGCTGTGTTTATTACCTCTCTGTGAGCTCGATCTTTGACGTGATTATGTTACATCAGTTTTTATTCATCTTGCATCGTTTAGCACTAACACAATCATCAGACAGCCAGAATTTAAATATGATTCTCCTCAGTATTATTCAGACTACGAAGGAGGTGGATTCTGCATATGAAAGGTAATGAAACAGACAGTGCCTGACCTTTTCCCAGATGAGTCTGATTGGTTAAACTGTAGTGATAAATGTAAAGTATTGCTGACTGGAAAGTTTTAGTTGAAACTGACATACATTTGATTAAGCTCTGTTCTGTAGACAGTGCTAAAATACATGCATTATTAAACATACATGCATACAGGCCAACAAACAACCGTCCTTTTTCACACTTCATGCATTACACGTAGTGTGATAAATGGGGAATATGGATTTGGCTAGTTCATCTGCACTCAAATGATAGTTCAGATGGGTCAAATCAATCACACTGACGTAAAGAGCATTCCAGGTGAGTTGGGCCTAAAGCGTGCCTGAAATACTGTTTGCAGCAGCTCCAGAGTCAAGCCAAAACCGCACAAATCCCCCGCTAAAGACTCACTGCAGCGAGCATGCTCCACTGCCTCCATCAAAAACATATAGATCACTGTCAGAGCTTGTAATTAGGACTATCTAGAGTCATCCATAATCAAATCTCAAGAAACAAACTGTTTTTGTTGTTGCATTAACTACTGTCTGGAGTTTAGACAGCTATTACGAGTGAAAAGCTCCATTTCATAGTTTTTTATAGTGTAGGTGGATTAACCTAAATGTTATACAGTTAGAAAACACTCCACAGAATCCAAACAAAATAAGAGATTATAAAAATGTACGTAAGTATTTTCTATTCCTGAAAAGTCTATTTCAAATACCAGAGGTTCTAATATAATGATCTAGGCGCAAAGTCTAAAGTGCACGGTGCAAAAGCATTAAAGGCATGTTTGAATCTACTTTTGCTATTTAAAAAACAGATAAATACGCTCTGCATCCCAGCGCATGGTCTAACAGGGTTGTGCTTATTATTTTAATGAGTTATGGGTAAGTTTTGAGCATAACGTGCATTAAATCAATCTCGTCTCCCATTCTCTTTAAGAGTCAGTTGCGTTGTGCCATGGCGCATTTGCTATTTACATGGAAAGAAATTGGAAAAACTGAACACTTTACTAGTGAGAAAACGGAGCATCTGCAGTGCGAAGATAAAGAACGAGCCTCCTTCATTCTGCCTTTTTACTTTATCTTTACTTTTTCTTTTTTCTCCTTCACTTTCGTGGATAAGGAAACAGTATTGTATTCACTCCATTAATAACATCCATTAGCCTAAATATTAATTTTGTTTATTAAGAGCAAAGATTTGTTTTAAAACTATTTCTAAATTGAGTTTTAATTTCCAGCAAATGAATACATAAACAATAAGAATTAAGTGTGGTCAAAAAACGTTATATACAAACACACGTCCTATTCTTATGCCCCATTTGATGATGCAGAGATCTTCAAAATCCGACAAGTGGATAAAAAAAAAAAAACACCCTGAGCTACAGAAAGCATGGAGGCAGTAGTTTTTATATTTATGTAGAAAATAATAATTTTTGCAACATTTTAAATTCTTTAATTTGTGTATTAAGCAATGTGTAAGCATTTGAAGCCTGCACAGGTGCAAAACTAAAGCAATCTATGCTGGACTTTAGACCAGATTTTAGTTGTTCTATGGCGTGGTCTATTTGGGTGCCAACTTTGCACCTTAACACTTCTTCTTTATAGACCAGCACACCCATGAGTCCACAAAGTGGCACAAAAAATTTTGATATTTAAACAACGCAGAGCAAAACAGGAAATTTACTGTTGCGCTGGTCTGAAAATAGCAACAAAATGCACCGAGCACGTCTTGCGCCTTATTGTGCCAGGAGTATGGTAGGGTGCCAGATGTTTACATATTTGATAATTATTGAATTCGTCAAAACTTAGCATCCATTTGATTCCGAATGCTGTGTTGTTGCCTGGATGGTCCATGGTTGTTTTTGTGAGCCATTCACTGTGTTTGCTTCTTGAAAATAAGTGAATGTATTCAATTTCATATGTTATTTTCATCAAGAAATCATGGTACCACTTTACAAAAAGGTTGTATTACTTAATCTTAATGTATTTATTAACATGTCATGAACAAACAATGAACAATACATTCATTGCAGCATTTGTTCATGTTAGCTAATGAAAATACAGAGGTTCAATGTTAGTTTGCATTAAATCACGGTGCATAAACTAATGTTATTATCTTAACTAATGTTAATGTATTATGTCTTTTTTCTTATCATTCCTTTACCAGTAAAAACAAATGCTCAGTCAAAACTTTTTAAAATCGTGAATAAATATTAAATTTACTTTTGCACGCTGGAGGATGGATGACAGCATGGTGAAGTATTTCTTTTAGACATGTTATGGTTCAAAACTATTGTAGTCAAGCAAAGCTTATTTAGATTGTGTTGTTTTACGAATGGGTTATATGCACAAAAGTGTTGTTCAGCCACTGAAATCTTCCAGTGAAAGATTGATGTGACTATTTTCAATTTCATAAGGCCTTTTACAGCATCAGTAATGTAGAATTTTATTTAGTTTAACAACAGAACATTAGTAAATAGCACTATTCTGCCTAGCCTGCTTTACTGAGGTGAAGTTGGTTTTATATTCACATTGGTTCAACCACTAAACATACAGCAGTCGCTTTAGGACAAGGCATGTGAGATAGTGAGACCAGCAATTCTTGCATGCATGAAATATTGCACATTATGACAAGTTTTGCAAACTACACAACTGAAAATGTGCTAGGTATAATACAGTTTTTCATTCAGAATAATAGTATTATTGAGCAGTGTAAAGTTTTCTAAATAGTGAATGACATGTTCTACTGGGTTGTCTACTGTCATCTTTAATGTGCGCCTTCATTATATCAGTAGGCATGGCTTTGGATGGCAGGGGAGGGACCGTGTTTTACAATTAAATTATTGTGCAAATGCAAAACACACAAAATAAACCCTAGGCTCTATTAGGGGAAAAACCTCAACCTCTAATGATACCTTGTACACTGAGATAAAAGATGTTAATCTTTTATCGATGTCGTGGCAGATGCTTTATTTAGTACCAGAATTGTATTTGGCTGCAGTGTTTTAGTCCTTGTCGGCAGTGTTGTGATGGGCGACTGCTGTCCTTTGGATGTTTTTAGCTGAAGAGGCAGAATTTGGGATGAAGGTGTGAGAGGGCATAGTGAACAAAGCTGATGAATGTGTGTGCGTGTATGTGTGTGTGTTAATGCACCTACAGAGGAAAAAACCTGCAGAGCTGGTTTGCAGCAGAGAGGAATCCCTGACTTTGTTTACATCCACATTCTTAAGCAGATTATATCATAATAAGCCAACAATGCATGAGGTCTTGTAAACGCATTACCAGTTTTACTTTAATAGAGTAAAATGGATTAAAGATAACTAATAAACTAATGATCACAGCTAGATTTTTGCCCCTAAGGCAGATTTAGTTGGTTTATTTTTGTGTGTGCTGTCTGACAGGAACATATGCAGTTTTATGCAAAAGTTTTGGCACCCCTTTGTGGCTGCTTAGTAATGTGCTCTTTCTTTATAAGAAATCACAGTGAAATTCCATTCGGTTTCTAGAGAAAACTTAAAAATTACATGTGTTTGATAGAAATAGGTAGTGTAGCATTATTGAGATGTGTGAAATTAAGATCAAACCGTAAAATAGGCTTTGCAAAAGTTTGGGCACCCTCTCTTTAGTGTGGTTAATGTTAATTCAGAACTAAAATGTGGTTGTTTTTTCCTATATGTTCTTATAATATATATCCAAATGAGCTATGGCTTACAATTATAAAAATTATCAGGTGTGCCCAAACATTTGCATAAACCTGAATATCCTCATCTTGTGGTAAAATACAAATACTGTATTTTGAGAGGATAATACATGAGTCATAAGATTTCCATTAGCTTTTAAAATCCATCCATTTTTGTGAGCATTTATCACATAAAAACATGGAAATAAACAGATGCACATAAATTCATAAAATGTGCATTAAAGCTTATACACACAACTGAGTATGAAAAACTTTTTATTTGATTAGAAAAAATGTGCATAAACTACAATGGAAACACATTTACCGAATAAATACCAGCACACGCGTCATAATGGGGTATATGCACAGCTAGTGTTTCTTCCCATATCGATAAACTTCCGGTGAACAGTTTGTGACTTCTTTCAATTTTTTACAGGTTCCTTTTACAGCATTGATGTTGTAATGTAATAAAAATATAATCAGTTAAATAGACTATAGCGTTTATTTAGTTATTCAAGCATAAAATGAGATAAAAAGCCGTTTACTCGCACACACCTGTCAGGATCAGCAGGCTAGCGCAGAAACTCCACTGAAATTACTGGAGTTAAATAAATGTTCATTTTTTAAAGACATGGTGTGAAAAATGTTATTTAATCCAGTGCTTCTTGTACATTCACTTTATATAGTATATCAATCAGGCAGTGAAGAGTTGATTTATAAAGAAAACAGAACGAAACTTAAACAAGCAAATTTTGTAACGGCATACAATTCATGTGATTTTGTTATAACAGATCATGTGATAACAAAAATATGCACGATGGAATCCCATTAGTGGACAAACCAGCGTATGGTCCACATTGCATAACATCTAAAATGTTGTTTAGAACTTTCTAAAATCCCTCAGCCAAAATCCACCACCAAAGTGGTTCAGTATTTTTATTGACAGAACTGTATTTAGCGGCTGTGCTCACAAAGAGTGGTATCATAGCTCTACAAGCCACAGTGTGTTCATTGTGTTTCATCTTTTGAGGCACAAGTATATTATTATTTAAGAAAAAAGGCTTACAGGGGTTTCTCCTACTACAGCAAATTTCTGTTTTTTATATTTGGCACCAGTTTATCACATGATGTGACGATTTTGTTCTGTTTGACCAATAGGGTGGAAATGGTGCTTTATTTGCAAATGTTTTATGCGATAATCTAGTTTTGCGTTCAAGTCTAATTCGTGTCTTTGGATGGAAACATACTGGTGATGGTGACTTTGCAATATTCTTAATAAATTTAACATGACAACATGTAGATATGCAAACTATTATGTTTTATGTCGGTAAGTTTTGCACAAAGTTTTGTAAACTCGGTTTACTTGGTTACTTTTTTGCATATAAACTGGGATAACAGGTTATATTAATCAGCTGATTTTTGTGAGTTATCACCTTATTGACATACATGAAAATGTGCTCACTGAGACATTTGGATCATTTCTACACTTCTCCGAGCTGTCATTTCTTACATAAAGCCACAGATGTTTAACACTTTACAGCGTCACACTGAATTATAAATCACTTGAGCTCCACTGAATATGCGGTGATGATGATCAATGTTTTAATGGTTCCGTAAAATTGAAATACATATATAAAAAAAAATTGGTGTTGATTTCAGTCTGTTAGTTTTAAGGATGTCTGTTAGCTATTGTGCTCCAAAAAATTGTGTTCAGAAAATATAAAACTGATATGAACATCCAAAGCTTACAGTTTGTCACTTCCACCTAAATCGATCGGCAATTGTCACCTCATACTTCAGTCTCTCTTCAAATCTTGACCAATCAAATGCTCTCTAGTATCTGACATGCCCTGCCCCCTTCAAGATGCTTCTCATTTGTTTTTCATTTGATGCCCTCGAGTTCAGCCACTCTCACTGGCAGAGCTGGGATAAAAACAAACGCTATTGGCTGTTTTTTAAAAGGGAATGAGCTACTCTGTACCAAGCTCCCTTAATTTTTTTAGTGGAGATTAAGTCAAGCATCAAATGAGAAAATGGACATTTCAAAGCACTTCATAGGAGCTTTAACACTGACCTTTTTCTCAGTGTTTGTGTGGAGGTCCGAGAGTCTTCCCCCTAAGCTGTGCTGCTCCACCAGGTCTGGAGGAGGAGACACACTGCGGCCCTGAGGGTCTACCCATGTGTACACATGATTGGTCACATAACCTCCTGGGATCCGCCCCATTGAACAGACTGACATCGACAGCTTCTTCGAGCCCTTCAAGACCTGTGAAAAGAAAATCCAGAGATGAGGACTGCTGAGAATAAAACAAAAATAATCATTCAAAAAAATTTATCAACTTTCATTTGTGCTCGTTTATATTGTCAAAGTTATGTTTAGTTCTGTTTGTTTTTGTCTAATCTTTGTTGGCTTTTGATTTGGATTTTTCTTGTTTCTCTTTCATTCCAGTCTTCAGTTATCACAATTGTTTGATTAGTTTAGACCTGTTTGTAGTTTGGTTCATTCATCCTTGTGTAAAAGCCCCTTAGTTTGCATGCTCTTTTGAGTTTTTTTTAAAACACTTATTTTTATATTTAATTTTTTTTTTTTTATGTACATATATTTTGATTAAAATGAATATCATATAAACACACATACATACATAGATCATATATTTGAGCAATATCACATGAGTAGCAGTGCATTACGACTGTCTATCAGCACTGATGGGAGGCATGCATTCTGCATTGATAATATAAAGCCATATCGCACTTATACAAGTGTGATATTGCATTTATACAACAGTTCAATGTCATAATCATGTATATAAAAAAAGAGAATCAAACATGGAGAGTCTCAAAAATCCTTTTGTATGAGGAACTACTTTCTTCCTCCATTCATCTGATCAGAACAGCAGAAACGGTTGCTATCTCACCAACATCACTTTAGAGCTAGTATTTGAATAATTCTACAACGTAATACCCAAAGTGATGAGAAAAGAGGTGATTTTGCTTGCTTTTTAAGATTGAACATCTTTTGATGAGAAAATGGGTGACTTTGCTCACCTTTAAAGATTATACGGCTGAACGTCATGAAATGCCATCAGTTAACAGAGATTTCACTGTATTTCTTCATTGCAGTTGGGAGATCACAATAATAAACCCCGAAAAAGCCAAAGCCAAAGCAAACACTAATAGATAACTATGGAATAAATACAGCACTACATACAGAGAAGAGGGAGATGGATTTGGAGTGTCACTTACCAGTGTTATGATGATTTGATCGGCTGAAATGTAAAATTTTTTGCTGATTTTTTCCCCCTTAAGGACGTATTATCCAGTCTCTGTCACCATCTTGTGCCCGAACATCAACTATCTTTGCTCTGCTCTGACAGGCTGATAGATGATTATAAATATTTAAAACAGGCACCATCCTTATAAAAAACTGCATAGGTGCAATCTAAACACCTAAATTCTCACCTAAAAAAAAGCCTCAAAAGTACATTATGTTGTCCAACAGCTGCAATATTTGTCAAATTGTAGTAAGGCTATTGATCTGCTGTCCATCTATGTGGGTGGAGTAATACACAAGGGTAAAGAGGCTGTACGAGTGCTGATAATGCAGCATATTGCACGGCTATCAGCCAATCAGATTATATACATATATATATGTGTGTGTGTGTGTTTGTGTGACACACACACACACACACACACAGGGCTTGACATTAACACCTGCCAACCTGCCAAATGTGAATAGATTTCACCAGTGGCGGGTTAGACAGCTGCTCTCACTAGCCGCTTCGTTGGTTAAAATAATTTTTCAATTGCTAGTGCTTCCTGGTCACTAAAGATTAGAATGGTAACTTAAGAACGTTTGTCAATATGCGTTAATATGTGTCAAAATGTGGTCTTAGAATAGAGAAGCAGTGTGACAGATGACTGTTCCGACGAGCAGAATAAAGCAGGTGAATAATGAATGAGAGGATCAAGCGCATGGTAAAATGTAGGCTTTCTTCGCTCACTGGCGAGAGCTTGGTGTCGCGCGCAAAAAATAAAAAATATAGCTTAAAGGGGATAATAATTTTGTCCTTAAAATAGCTTTTAAAAAATTAAAAACTGCCTTTATTCTAGCCGAAATAAAACAAATAAGACTTTCTCTACAAGAAAAAAATATTATCAGACATACTGTGAAAATTTCCTTGCTCTGTTAAACATCATTTGGTAAATATTTTAAAAAGAAAAGAAAATTCAAAGCGGGGCTAATAATTCTGACTTCAACTGTTTTTATATATATATATATATATATATATATATATATATATATATATATATATATATATATATATATATATATATTATATCAAATCATTTTATATCGAACTTTATCAAATCAATTATAGCTGACATTAGATATTATTCTTAAATTTATTTAACTATAAAATGAATAAAAAAATAAAAAAATAAATAAGCCTTTATAAAATGAAATACATAACAAATATACACACACATATACACAGAACTTCATAAATTGAAAAACAATAAGCAAGCAAATGGAATGAACAAACAAACCAACAAAGTCAATGTGACCAGCAAATGAAAATGTAATGACTCACTGTGAAACATTTACAGAACATTAGTGAGCAGAACTTAAACACTGACTCTTTTAAAACAAAAGCAGAGTTGTGTATCTGCGGTTATACTCTCCTCTTAAAAACTGAACAGTGATTTGACCTGCTGGAGATGTAATTCACGGCCTGTAAGAGCCAAAAAAGTCTAATAACAGATCTCACTGACTCTAGTGCAGGTCTCTTGTGGATTAACTCAAGCCATGTAAAACAGTCCCACCACCTCTATGAACTGCTCTCATTTCTGAATAAAACACCCGCACATACAGTTGAAGTCAGAAATATTAGCCCTCCTGAATTATTAGCCCCCCTGTATATTTTTGTCCCCAATTCCGTTTTGATGGAATAAGATTCTTTTCAATACATTTCTAAACATAATAGTTTTAATAACTCAACTGATTTATTTTATTTTGACATGATGACAGTACATAACATTTTACTAGATATTTTTCAAGACAATAGTATTTAACTTAAAGTGACATTTAAAGGCTTAACTAGGTTAATTACAGGTATGTTAATTAGGCAAGTTATTGTATAGCAGTGGTTTGTTCTGTAGACAATTAACATATATATTGATTAAGAGTGCTAATAACATTGACCTTAAAATGGTTTTTAAAACATTAAACACTGCTTTTATTCAAGCCAAATTAGAACAAAAGAAAACTTTCTCCAGAAGAAAAAAATATAGGAAATACTGTGAACAAAATCCTTGATGCATTAAACATCATTTGAGAAATATAAAAATAAAATAAAAATATCTCAGGAGAGCTAATAATTTTGGCTATAACTGTACATCCGTCTCTGACATTTAGCATTCGTTATAGCGACAGAGCTGACCATCTCGCTGATATTTTTCAGTACACCTTCAGATGATGTCAGATCTCACCTCCCAGTACAGAGCAGAAAGTTCAGACAGACTCTTGATTTTCAAGTCCCTTGGAAAGGTTGAATCAGATCACTGAGATTTTTTTTTGTACATTTAACTTTGCGTTTGGGCTTCCTCAAAGCAAAAAGAGGTGTTCAGGGAGTAAAGAAGAAGAAGAAGAAGAAAGACAGATGTGGAAAGACTACAGATAGAATATCTCTCAAAACACATTCAAAATCCATATACTGGTTTTGCATTCAGGGTCAGTGAGGACCAAAAGAATCAATACTATATAAAACAGCCATAAATTCATACATTTCAGATAAAACCACAGCGATACCATCAGTACATTTTAAATGTTATATTCAATCCAATTTAAAATTTCAATTGGATTTGTGATTTATTCTATACTGATGACATTTATTCTGATAAAAAAGTTGTAATTTAAATTATAATTTTTTTATTCAAAATAACAAAAAGATGCCATGGTTTCAGACATGTTTATATTCATTTGACAACACATCAGTGTTTAAATGACAACTGTTTTTTTTTTATTTGGTAAAAATTTCATACCGTAACAGATACTTTCTATGTGGATTTATGTTTTGAGTTTTTACTGCAAATGTCACATCCATAACGCTGGAATTGCTCATATATATATATATATATATATATATATATATATATATATATATATATATATATATATATATATATATTTTTTTTTTTAAATGTTAAAATCGATTTAAATGTGTTATGAAAAAAAATTTAAGGAAAATAATTGTGAGACATTGACCTTGGCCCCACTTCAGAAAGAAGGTTAAGTGAAAACTCTGTATGCTAACTCTGAAATGAGAGAAACTCTGGGTTTTCAGTTTCAAAATGGTTTGTCAAACTCGAGAAAGCAGGCTATGTCAAGCCTGTTTCTGAAAGAGAAGTAACTTTTACTCAGAGTCTGTTACCATGGTGTGAACCTAACCTTGTCAGGAGCAGGTTTTTTGTCTAAACTCCAAACTATCTTTCTATCGCTCCCCCTTTTTAAAGACAAAGTGGTATTTCTCATCATAGTCTCTGAGATTCCTTACCTACTTTTCAGTCACACAAAGAACAAAGTTACAAGAATGGCTTGTCCTTTTTTGAGGGGAAATTACAATAAGATTCAATAGCAAAGTTTTAAGTTTTACCTTTGATATTACTGCAAACGATGAATAGTTTGCTTTAATTCACTGACATTTGACAGGGACATGTACTGTAAATAGGTTAATGGGATTATTACTCAGTCTAAAAACTATTTTTAGTACTGCTTACATTCTAAATGTCATATCAACTACTACACTTGATCAATAAAAAAAGGCAGACACACAAGTGCACTTTTAAATCTATAAAAATATATGCATTCTTGTTTTGTCAAATTTGTTGTAGAAATGCAGTAGCCTATTTTATGTCATTTAATGCAGTTACATCTGAAATATCTACAAAATGACGGCCAATTCTTCACTTTTTCAACTGAAAAGTCTATAAATGTCACACATTAAATTACTTATTTTTTATATTCCTAAATATTTAAATACTAAACTTGCGCATTAACTTGAACAGCTATGTTTTTCATGCTGTCTCTGTTTTGCAGTAGTGTAGCCTTTTTTTAAAATATATGGTCATATTTGCTACAACTTTGCATGGGCACATCAAGTTCAGCTGGAGAAAAAAAAATTTGATCTCGTTTTTCAAATGTTGCCATGGTGAATCGTAATATCTGCGCTCCATTGATAATGCCTTTTTATAGTCTCGGTGTGCGTG